ATAATATTCGTTAACCCGAGTTAATCCGTGAATGTCCGTTTATGGTCTCTGTCTACGTTCTCACACATTTCAACTTTGCATTGACACATTTTAGTGCCTTAGTTGACATTTGGCTGTCTACCAGAAAACGTGTCCAATTGGCGCCATCACGAACGTTAGACAGGCAGAGTTTTGGTTACTTTGTTTGAAGCTGCTTTGACTATTGTAGCGGTCATAGAAGAAGCTTGGTCCTGTGCTTGCCTCTCATTTGGATCCATTAGTATTACTGATGACCTTGCCTTCCGCTCATTTTCCCCTTCTAGAGAAGTAGTAAATGGCTTGCACCTTGTACAAGCTAACCTTTTCTCGGTCTAACTGGGCGTACAAGTTCTCTATAATATTATGTGTAAAGCAAATGGGGGTCGCAGGCCCCATTTTGGTGCAATCCTCTTTCTACAGGTATAATTATTGTAATCCACAGTAACGAAGACAGACTGTCCTCTTGTGGAGTGCACCATGTGATATCGTGGTTGATTTCAAGACCTTCACATGCGGCATTTTATTGCTTCAAAAAAGTCACAACCGGACAAACAAGCTCTGGTTGATCCTAAATGGAGCAATTGCTGAGATCAGCGCGTTTGTAATCTCATTTACAGGTTTTTCAATTGTTCCGACTACCAACTACAGAACAACATCAGCTGAATCACACATAACGTACGCGTGGTGCCCGCTCCGGCGGTATTTGTTATTTGATCCTTACTGACGAGATTTTCAAAGAGAGCAAAAAGGCTTAACCAATCTGCAGGCTGAAGCAAATGTGAAAACCTCCGAATTTGTCACCGAAATGATTGCTTACTGTATGGTTTTTCCAACTGTAGACAAATATTCTGGCGCACGCATTGTGCATCCAATCGCTCGCGACAAATGCATTTGTGAAATTAAATGTTGTAGTTTTTCTGTTATCCTTTACACTTCCGCGTCATAAAATTGACTTTCATAAGTTCTCTGCTCGCAACTCACTGATCTTCTGAGCATTTTACGCATTTTTATCCGAACATCTCCGAAATCCATGGAGACAAAGAGGACGCAGGTGTAAAAGTTGAAAAAAAGTCGTTCAAAGCCTGGTGAGGGAGACAACTTTACGCGCTCGTAAATTTCCCTAAAAGGGATCCACTAATATGTACGCATGCATTTACATATGTAAGAGAATGCTCTGCGAAACCCAGTCCAGATACCTATGGGCTTACAACGCTCGGAGCGAGGGTGCATATGAACGCCGCGTCAGAATCAACCCTGCACTAGAAGTGCGCGTTACACTTGTCACTAATACAAACACTAAAATTGCACTTGTTGCAACATACAGTACAATCGTTGCGGCACATATTTGTCCCCCTCTGTCGGGGTGTTTCTTGTTCGCCTTCTGTTTACATGCTCATATGTCGTACATACTCGTATATCGTTGCATCGGTGCGTGCAATGTGCAATAAATATGCCAGCAGGTTGTAGTTTACCGCTCTTAGTTGTTGTTGTTACTGTTGGCTTTGGTGCACTCGGTCTTGTGCCGCACAGTGGCGTGTTTGTTGTGTGACATTTTTATCTAATTGACAAAACCTTTGCTTACCTTTCGGTAGATGGGCCTTTAGATACTCTTCGATCGTAAATACTCATATGTATGTATGTATGTTTCATCGGTTTTTTCTTTTTTTTTTTGGTTTTTATTTGTCACAATGTGTGGCATTCGAAGCGTTCGATCGCTCGATCGGCGTGGTGCATCGCAAATTTGTCGAAATGTCGTTTGGGGCGTGCTACGACAATAAAATGCACCCTCGTTGACCTTTTCCTTCGACCCCTGTTCCCGTTTAAATTATGAGCGGTTTTGATGAGCAACTGCACAGTTTATTTATTACTCATATTGTTCTTGGTTGTGGGAGGGTTTCCGCGGTTGTTTTACCTTGAAGGTGGGTGTGTACATTTTGGGAGTTGTGGGCTCGAGTTTCAACGCCTTGCAATCTTGATATTTGCGGAAAATATTAAAGTTATTTTTAATATTGTCGTCTAGACTCGTTCCGCCCATTAGTGTCATTATCAAAGAGATTATATATTTTCTTTGTCTTAAGTACGCTTAACTTGATAAGAATATATATATAATTGGCGCTTTGTAACCGCTGAAGCGATTTTCCACCGAGCTCCTCCTCCAATTACAAGTACAGTTTATAGTAAGCCACCTCCGAACGGCTGATGGTTGACATTCCCTGCAGAGGGGCGACCGCAATTAGAAGATTTAACTAATTTTTTATTTTTAAATAGATTTTCTATAACATTTGAATGTTGGTCGCACGGAGATTTGAACCCGAGCCTTTCGAATGGCAGTAGGCAATGGTAAACGTTCGACTACCGCGGCCGGGGTCGTCTAAATTTGCGCAATCGGCTTGTCAAGTACATGGAATCCTTGCTCTGTAGTTCTATTTGCAAGTTCGTTCCGACGAAAGCCAGTGAACGTACTCCAGATAGTTCGTCCGATTTTACTTTCGATATTCGTGGTTATTTACCTAACGTAAAGCAAAATTTATAACGGCATGGAACCAAAATAAAAATATAGAATTTACGACTGTAGCCTTTTAATATTTTAACTTAAAAATAAATTTAGTGCATTTACTGACGATGTGGTAGGAAGTAGATGAAGTACAAGTGACGAATCGAGTGCAATAGATCGATTAGAAGTAGTTCCAATATATCCCTAATTAGAAAAAAATGAATTAAGTTTACTTTGCATGTGCAACCGCTGAAGCGAATTTCGACAGAGCTCTTCCTCCAATTTGTGGTATGCGTCAAATGGAAGTATGTAACAAATGGAAGCATCTACTAAGCTGCCTCCGAACCGCCGATGGAGTTTTGTGAGGAGTTCTTATTTCATGTACACTCGGATGGCTTGACATTCCCTGGCGAAGGCGACCCCGATTAGAAAAGTTAATTTTCGGTTTTTTCAGATGGTGGTCGAACCAGGACTCGAGCATTGGCCTTCCAAACGGAGAGTACCAGATATTACATAATCAAAAGGTAGACAAGGTATTCAAACATTGAAAGAAGGCTACTACGAATGGTAGTGTAGAGTGTGAGTTTTTCGAAATGAGATACATTTTCTCTGGAATTGAACTACGGAAATATGTTCCAGCACTATAGGGCAGGGGTGCCAGATAGGGTTTTTAGTGGCGGCGGTGACTATATATTAAGCGCTCGCTATAAGTAGCCAATTCGTCAAATTTACAGCACGCTCCGAATTGCCTTTTTTAATTGTTCCCATCGATAGCTGGAAAAATTTATAACAAGACGGGTAAAAAAGAATAATATAGTCGGGCAATGAAACGTCTTTTCCATGGCCATTGAATGGGTAATCGGGTTCACCATTTTCTGGTCTTGCACTTTCTTTACCATTCAGCAGGCTGGAGAAGTTCACTTTCCATAAAACCAGTTTACTCCGAGCATCAGTCACTAGGTCATTTCTCTGGATCCTAAAAAAGTTTCCTCCGGTCTTGAAACCTTCCATAATTCACCACATCTTTTCGCAGATTTTCGAGCTCTACCCTTTTCGGCCAGCTTCGCAAGCACATGCGTCCTGTTTTCTTCTTCAATTCTCGGTAACTATCTCACTCCGTTCGTTTAGTGGCTGATCGCAACATTGCGGGACAGACAGTGTGTGGTCTCTCCACGGCAAACTTCATCGAACCAGCTGTTTTTGCCACCATTTCGAAAACCAATAGTCTTGTTTGCAGTTGTACGTAGGGAGTTTGAAATGCCGTCTCATAGTTCCAAAATAAAGAGGAGCAGGAGTGCTAGGTGAGCAAAAACCGGACTGCTGTCTGTTGTGACTGTAGCTATTCGGCCTCGAACCTTCCTTGCTTTGTTGGGCAGAGGCGGGTGCTTATCCTTGCTGCATGAAGATATCGATCTCCACCCCTAGTTATTTGAATGTTGCGGACAAACAAATTGCTCTACCGCTGAGTGAGGGAAGATGAAATGCACGTATTTTGGTTTTACTAGTGAATAGCAACAGTATTTGTCGCGGCCCCTAGATGTAACCTACGGGTAGCTCTTGCCATAATCTCTCATTACTAAGATGAGCACTACAGTTGTAGTTTATTATAATCATTAATACATATATAATATATATTTTTTTAATCAAAATCAACTTTAAACAACAAATTTTTTAAGACACTTTCATGCATACATACAAACATAAGCACAATATAAGCAACGCATTGTGATGTTTCTTATTAAATATGTATATATATACTTGTACATATTTGTTCAGTTATAAAAACTCTCATAAAAACACACATGCACATATATCAACATAGTTACATACAAATCCCTATAGGGGCTCACAGACCAATCAGCGAAGCGCACAAATCTTTTCCACCACAGATCAGAGCGCAATGCAGCGCCTCATTGGCCGTGGGAAGGTATGCGAGAGCACGTGCTGTTGACTTTCGTTTGCTTGTGCATGTACTGCACACACATATATAGCACATGTACGTGTGAAGCACTTTTACGCTACATCAAATGTTGTTATTTTAAACTGCTTGGAGTTGTTGTGGCAACAATTTGAAATTCCAACACATGCACAGCTTATTTACTACTGGCACCAGACCCAACACCAGCTGACACCCATGAAACCTTATAAGCATAACCCAATCCAAAGGCTCCACAAAGGCAACAACAGAAATACACAGGCAAACATGCATACACGTATGTATGTACTACAGGCCGTGGTTAGAACCGGCTGCACCACCACCAACCGACCGACCGACTGTGTGAGAGAGAATGCTCAATAAGATTTACCTGTCGCCTACCTGCCGTCCTACCAACGACCGTTCTGTGGTGAGTTGCGTGTTGGCAAGGAAATCAGTATAAATACCGCCAAAAGGAGACTGACGAAGGCATACGCATACAGGACGTGAACGCGTTTGCATTACTTTAGTGAGCTGTGTATTAATTACCTTTTTGCTTTGTGACTTTTAAACGACTCGTGTCCGAATCGACCAAGAAAAATACGCAGACAAAATGTCATCCAGTGAAATATACCGTTATTACTACAAGACCTCCGAGGATTTGCAGGCATTCAAATCGAATGCGAGCGAGACATACTTCAATCCTATGGGGGCTTATAATCCACCGCCGCTCCTCAGCGTTAATCTTCATCCGCACAACCAACAACAACAACAATACAATTGTACACCCGCCAGCAATTTCTTGCCAACCAATGGCTTCATCACTTTCGAGCAGGCATCCTCCGATGGTTGGATTACCTCCTCGCCAGCGAGTCATCGCTCCGAGAGTCCCGAATATGTGGATCTCAATACAATTTACGCTAATGGCACACACAATGGCGCCCATCCACTCCACGCAACCGTCACGCAGTTCGGTTTACATTTGGAATCACCTTCGGCGCCCACTATGCCACAAAATGGAGTGACAACAACAACGGCACCCGCAACTATGGGCACAAAAAACACTGCCACAAAAGCAACCAGCAACAACAATAGTGGTACAACAACCAAGACAAAGCGTTCCTATACACGCCGAACACCAAAAGCCGCAGCGCCAGTCACAACAGCCGCCCAGTTGCCACCAATCTCCAGCGACACGATCGTTTCCATTGCAACCAGTGCTGCGGCTGCCATCAGCGCCAATCCGCATATCGTCACCAACAATGCCTACACACATGATTTCCATAACTTTGACTTTGATCAGGCTGCAGCATTATTTGATGGCGACAGCGTTGATGACGAGGAGGTGGACGATCATATGCTGCTCTTTGGTGCAGATGACGACTTCGCTGATGGCGCTGACGGTTCCTTTGAGCTTACCGATCCATGTGTTCCATTGCAACATGGAAAAGATGATTCAACAGCAGCCACGCAGGCAGGCACTAAGAAACGTCGCGGCAAACAAATCTCACCGGTGATTAAGCGGAAGCGTCGCTTGGCGGCGAATGCACGTGAACGTCGTCGCATGCAGAATCTCAATCAGGCCTTCGATCGGCTACGTCAATATCTGCCGTGTCTGGGCAATGATCGGCAGCTCTCGAAGCATGAGACGCTGCAGATGGCACAAACATATATAGGGGCGTTGGGAGATCTGTTGCGCTGAAAACGAAGAAAAAATCCGAGTGACGAGTGCTTGTTGAAGGCGTGGCCGTAACGGTATTTGTATTTATTGATGTGAGAAACAAATGACTGAACTAGACAAAATGGTGTAAATATGTAGGAGTTTACTAAGTCTTAAGGGTGTGCTTGTTGCTGTACATACTTAGATATTTAGCATTAGTTAGTATTCAACCAAAATATTTTTTAAGTTTTTAAATATTATAAGAAAACCAAATATTGTACATAAAGAAACCGGAAGACAAAAATTAACAGCTTAAGTAGTTGAATTAAATAAATTTAAATTTCAGTTTAAAGACATGACTTTTTCTTTATTTGGTGGATACTAAAATTGGGATAAAATCCAAGGATTTTAGGAATCACTTATGTTGTACTCAAAAATTATGTGTTTTCCCCTCTCAAGAAATCTCTGGAAACTCTAACATTCATGACATGCACAAGCGAGTACTGGCGTCATACAAATACAAGATCTCGCACGGTTCATCGGTTGATCGTTCCATCATCTTTTCCTTCAAAGTGAGAAGATATATTAAACTACACCCGCTACTGGTGAAACGGTAAAATATTCCTTGGGAACCCTAAGTAACAGCGCATTTATGTGAAAATATCCTTATCCGAGCTAATATTCTTATAAGTGTGAGGTTTGGTAGAATTAGGCATGCCGAAACCCTAAGCTGTCTTGACTGAAGCGTTCTTCGGTTCGATAAATACTCTGTGAAATACTCATATTTATAATCATAAAGCGTCCTTTGTATAGAATATGCAATTCCTTACCAAAACAAAGGTTCGATTCAGCGATATATAGCATGTTGAGTTCAATATTCGTTCGACATAATTACCCAGCAGAGTCGGCAGTTCGATTCGTTTACCCTAGCGGATGGATAGTCCGCATTCTCAGAGATGTCGCACTGCGCACATTAAGACGATAATACTGCGGTGGACCAGAGTATCGAGAAGACATGAACAGTTCATCCACTTTATCAAGGATCTTGCAGAAGAATCTTGCCATGCGGTTTACAAAATTCAACTTGTGCAAGAATCAAAGTCGAACAACCATCAAGCGCGTCATATGTTCGACGAATGGGTCCAAAACAAGATTTCGACCGAGCCGGATTTTCACACGAAAATTGTGTTCAGCTATGAAGCTCAGTTTTGGATTAATGGGTAGGTTAATAAACAAAATTGTTGTATTTGAATAGATGATAATCCACAAGCCATTGCTGAGACGCCAAAGCATTCTCAAAACGCCATTGTTTGGTGTGTTGTATGGGTAGAGGGAATTATTGGTCCATATTTCTTCAAAAATTAAGCCTTCCGCAATGTAGCAGTCATTGGGGAACGCTGTAGTGCCACGATTAATGACTTTTTAGTGACTGAGCTGAGGATGCTGATGAGAGGGACTTTTTCTTCCTGCTGCAAATAGATAGAGTGTTGATTTCGACATAAAAGTTCTCAAGAACAGGTGTGTGTGTATAGCATCGCAGAGGGATCACATTTTTTGGGGTCGTCTTCCTGCGAAATCAGATAATAAAGGCTCCATATGACATGAGTCTAAGACCAAGCTCTTGGCGGCATAGGTTTCGCTTGAGGTTATCTTTTTTTCTAGGAAATTAAATGTCGGTTTACCAGCAGCTGCACAGAAAGCGGGTCGAAGGTCAAACAATAGATGTTTTCATACAAAGCTTGAGTAGTGAAACTCTTTCCATGAAATCCCTTGCATTTTGCCCACTCTTTTGTCGTTTATTTATCACATTTGCTTGCGTAGGTGAGTTTTTGCATCTGGCGTCGTAGACAAAAGCCCTAAAATCACTGATTAATAGTCAAATTGCATTTGCTGATATCCAAGCTGCGTTTAACCCTTTTTTATCCCCATTATATCAAAATATATCTGTATATATGTACATAAGCATTATATGTATAAGTGCAGATGCAGACACTTGGATCAATAATCATTTGCAAAACATGAAAAGCTGCGAAATTATCACATGAAAGAAGCTTCCGTTTCTCTCACCTTGTTAGCGGCATCTTTTGTCTGTCTGTCTGTCTGTCTGTCTGTCCGCGCGTCCGTCTGGCTGGGCTCCCACGTGCAATGTATTGATATCTCTTATGCACAGGAGTCGTAAAAATCGATGCTTTTCTGTTTTCCCAAGCCTCTGCAGACAAAGTGTCCAGTCAATTTGTCAATTATACAAATTGTCGACTTTGCTAACCCGAAAAGATCGAGCAAATTCGCCACAGTATCAATAAACAATGCAACCGTTGGCGAGGCTTTCGCCCAATCTTACGCACAGATTGCGTTGTGCCGCAAACTCGATGTAGTCGCGAAGAAATGCCACCTGCATGCAGCTGCCGAGGCACTGGGGCTCACAAGAGGCTGCGATCGATCGTGGAGACAAGTGACGTAAGGGGCGCGAAGAAGATGCACACTTTAAGGGCAAATCAATAATGAACAAATGAGTGAATGAATGTATGAATGAATGGATTAATGGAGGAGAGTCACACGCAGAAGCTCCAAGCAATTGGAATCGAGAATCGCTCGCCACAATATTCGCATTGAACTGAAGTGGCAGAGGAGGAGGACTAAAGATGCCGAAAACCGCAGCACAATCTTCGTCAAATCGCATGTCTTTGTCAATTTCCATTTGCTTTTGGACTAATAACAACAAAAACACCAACAAGAGCAATAACAAACACTGACTTAATCCGTAAAAAAATGGTAACAACACAAAGCGATGATCAGCGTTCAGCAATCGAAGTGCTGAGCTGAGCTGAGCCGAGCTGAGCCGACAAAACGTCACCACAAGAGCCAGCATCTCATGGCAGTATGAGTCTTGTGGCTGCACTTTTTTTGTAAGTTTCTTTTGTGGGCGCACGTTGAGCTGTAAAGAAATTTGTTATAAGCTTAATTGGTTGTCTATACAACACCTTTTTTTTTGCGCTCATTTTTGTTATTTTTTTTTCGTCGCTGATAGCATCCTTTTGTGGGGACGCATGACATGAGAGATTAAGGCATCGTCTGACATTTAGGGTGAATCGTTTAATGAGCTTTAACACCATCAATTTGTCACTGCTTGTTAGTGTCGAAGGATGGCAGATATCTTGTTGATCGTTTGATCCGCTGGACTTTGCGGTTTTGCTGGATGAGCATTGAAGTTGAGGTCGGAAGCACAAAACATTTCAAAGAGCGATTTCGGCTGCAATGACGCACGTTAAAATATTTTTGAATTGAGCTTAATCGGAAAGATCGCTGATGGAGTTTTTCTTCCGATTTTTTGCTGCCTTTCTATCCGATTTGTATGCAAGAGCAAAGAATGTAATTACGTAAGACACGAATTGTCCCGAAAATCTCCACATTACTTTTATTTATTTGAAATTATGGCAAATTTTCCATTTCGTTGATTGTTCTCTGTTCTTTGATCCTCTACCAACGCACACTTGTGCCTCCTCTTTTGTAGTCTAGACATTAGATTTCTAATAGTAGTTCTACTATTGTAGGTTTTTTGGTAATTTTTTTTTGTGCACATCCCTTTCCACATCCCCAGAAGATCTTCAAATTTTTCGTGTTTTTCTCGTGTTATTTGTGTGAATTTTTCAAGCGTAATTGTTACTAATTTCAGTTCTGCTTTAGGGAGCATATCCTTGCGGTTTTCCATTTCTGCTCATTTTTTGATTCTTATTTTGTGTTTTCCTTTGAGGTGTGGGCTCGCGGTTTGGATTTTTTTTTATTGTAAAACTGAAATTGCCTTTAATTGCCTGTGTAAAGTGTAATTTAAGCGTAAAAAATTGTCGGCACTTCCGTTGGCGGCTTTAGAGTCGTCGTCAGTGTATTTTCTTTTGAAAGTTGGCAAATATTATGACAAAAAGAATACGAGTGATTGAACGTACATATGTTTGTAGGATACGTGTTCCTAGTACATGGTGAAGAAACAAGAGTTGAATGTCTAGGAACAGTAATATTTTTACGAAGCGATCTAATCATAAGAGAGATTCTGACTAATTCTAAAACAACTAACTTTTTCAGCGTATGACGTACACATCCGACAATAAAGGAGTTTCCAGCAAGTGAACCTGGGACGAGTATGTGTGAAAACCGAATTCATCTTTGAATCGTTTAATTTTAATGAAACATGGTAAAAAGCTAGCTCTAAGAAAGTCTTGGGCCGAAATGAATATGTGGGAAGTTTATTTACGAGGAAGTGGTTTAAGAACCGATCTATTTAAAAAAAGTCGTATTTAATATTTTTTAGTGACGAACCCAGCGTTACCCGCCTGCTGCCCAACCGACCGAGCGGCTCGTCTGAGAGTAACCTGTAATAGTGCAGACTGCCCTGAGCCCGGAAACCGATGGCGGATGGTCTCGGTTACACTTGCCTCTTACACTAAACAGGCATTAATTTGTTCTTCAGCTGCTATAAAATTGCATGGGAAAAGGCGCTCAGTAAATAGGTTTTAGAATACAAATAGCCCTTTTTAGTCACGTTAATATGTGAGGTGTCCCGACCAACATAATGTGGATGGAAGACATCAACGTCTATTATTTGCGTTTGCTGACATGTGCAAGGGACTGGCAATCCCAACCGGTGGCGGTCTGGGGAAGAGAAGGTGATCTTTACCACCTTCGGGTTAAGCAATGAGAAGAAAACCTGACCGATACACAACTTCCGGAGTGTGATCGCGTTGGAATACCTCTCACATTCTCTATTCCCTGTTTTGCTTCATCAGCATAATTAGGATAGGCTTCGCTGACAAAGAAATTTCTTATGTACAATACATGTTGTGGTTTGAAGTTGCCCCAGTACTCGATGCCATTGATTGGTTGTTTGCCACATCTTCAACTGGTTAGATGGCAGGCTAAATACTCCCTTTTCTAATCGAGTAGTGTCAATCGGAGAAACATACTTGTCTGAAGATTACATCAAAATGAGGTCCATAAAACCGTTATTAAACGTCGTCTCTAGAAGGGTCTGCTGCTGATTACATGCTCCC